TCCATGCCTACTACTTTGGAAAAAATAATTTTCTAATTTAATTCCCGTCGAATATCAAAAACTTAAAATGTCTGTATCTCGAAAACAGTTGAGTTTATCGATTTATAACAAGTATACCTTTTTTATTTAGAATTGAACGTAGTTCAACAATTTCTAGTCAAAAAATTCAAGATTGTAAAATATAAAAAGTTAGACATATTTTTACATTGACAGAACAGTACAACTAGCGCCCCCTAGACGTAACCCCAACACTTTGCATATTCGTATTTACCACCTCACGTAAAAACGTAAAACTACAAATTTTCAAAACAATCGGTCCATACATACTTAAAATATAGATAAAAAAAGAAAATATTGTTTCAACTTTAACACCCTGTAGAACGAAAATGAGCAACAATTGATTAAGGCATGTTTGGCTCAATCGCTATATTTTGACGTTAACAATCTGCTAGTAAGCTGTGTACCATTCTTTTTTTACTAAAAATTGATAATTTTTTCACAATGTTTTATACACTTACATCACAGAAAAATCATCAAGTATTTCCGTAATAAGAAGCTTTCTAATTTTTGTTATACTTATGTTACATGGAACATTGTGTTACAAACTTAATATACGGTTTTATATGGAACACTTTGTATATTTTTATATTCAAGGTGTTTTAGAAAAAGCACCACAAATTCAGTGGCTAACAGAACATTAAAAACTATTTTTTTCCTATCTATCGACCTGTTTCTTTAAAAATGCAGGCCGTCAGAGATGATTTTTTTAATCTAATTTAGCCATATTTTTCCAAAACACAATATTGGTATAGGTAAGTTTTTGATGGCGCTAATTACGTGTTCTATATTACAATGTGTAATTTTCATAAAAGGGTTATTCCTGTTCCTTTCTCTGAAAAAGCACCATATCATCTGAATATTTGTTGTCTGGTCTAGGGATGCGCAGAGTCATTTTTGTGACTTTACTGCTTGCCATGGATAGGGGAAGGTGGGTTGGATCCGTTTAGCCCAAAACAAGTGAATATTGCTTGTCTGGTGCAGGGATGTGTAAGAAGTCTGCCATTACTGCATGTCATAGTAGTTGGATGTCGGTTATTGGGGGTATGTAGAGCAGTGGATGGTAGTGGTTGACTCCGTTTGTGCTAAAATCTACTGAATTTGAATTTTGTTTATCTGGTCCCAAACTAAAAAAATCATTTTTTCAATTGGGAAGAAAACCGCGCTTATTGACCCTCCTCCTTTGTGCGGAAAGCAACACACAACATAAATTTTTACTAACGTGGATGCGGCTCTAGTCATAGACTAGGAGTGCGGTCTGTTGGTCGAACGTAGTCCACTTAATTTGCTCCGCTATCAAATTCATTACTTCATTCAGTTCTCTGTGTATGCATCGTTTGTCGCTTAGGCCCCGTCCATCCGTCATTCAGCTTTGCGGACCGCGTTCGCACTGTTTGTCCACTATTAATCCGGTAATTAGGTAGGCAGTATGCAGCCACAGCACGCCCGCCCTTTTTACATTTAATTTCACGTAAGCCGCGTCGGATCGTCGATACTGAACCCTCATCACTCAAATGGCAAAATTTATACGTTTTGCATCAATCGGAGCCGTTTAATCAATCATCAATATACAGGGTTGTAACTTGTCGGGAAGAGTACTTTAACCAATCTGAAGTTTTTTTTTAGTCAAATACAGAGTCGAGTTATAGGTAATTCGATTTTTAAAGTGCACCTGTATTATTGTTTATTTACGCTGCCACTGGTCGACATAAATCGGGATACCACGAATTAGCGTAATAAGTTGTATCATCGCTTATCAGTGTTGCCAGTTGTTACCTTTTTAAATCAACTATTATAAAATTAGAAAGCCAAATTACGATGGAAATTATTTATTAAAAATAAATTCCTTTTGTATGACTTAGCGACATGTTATTTTAAGGTCACCTTAAAAAAAAAAACATTCTAGATACATTATTAACTGTAAGTAAAACCAATTTATGTTTTAAAATAATTATTTTTGTTGTTTTAAAAAACGTACATAAAAAATAAAAACATTTCTATAAAATGGTAAATTTTGAAAATTGTGGTACTATTCTCAGAGTCAATATGTGATGTTGACCTAATTCAGCAAAAATATACTACAGTAGACAGGGCCGTATTTAGAAAAGTTAAAAGAAGTAGTATTAACGACTTATAAAATTCTAATCAAAATACGGTATATTTTTACTCTTTTTTCTTATTCAGTCATTTCATCAAACTAATAGATAGTAATATTTAATCACAGAAAAAACCTAATTTATTAACATTATTTATTATTATTTATCCTCAACCAAGTGATCCAAGGTACACCCTGCACAGTTTAAATTTAAGCAGAATTTGATCTGATTGGAATGATTAGGAACCGCAAGGGAGTCTAGCCTACGCTGCTCAGGCCATATGATTCGAGCGAATAGAATTGCGTTACCCTTATGTACAAGATATTTAGGGCCTCTAGAGGAGCGTAGCATCCTGTATTTTTGGTGGTATAAATAGACGAGAATGACTGAATAGGTGAGTCGCACACTGGGATTTTTGAAGTTTTTTTTTTTCAAAATTCCAGAAAAGGGCCAGATTCTAGCCGATCTTTATACATTTTTTTCTAAACTACTCGTAAAGACTTGTAGGCTTTCATGTCCAAGTGCTATACATTTGTTTTGGGTCATATCGATTGAGTTTTGAGAGGTTAGGTTGCCAAATTTCATTTTTTTTTGTATTTTCAGAGAATAGAACGTTGAATATTAAAGGTGAGAGAATCTCTTAGAAATCAGTCGATATGACCCAAATCAAATATATGACATCTTAGAACTTTATTAAGTACACTTTCTTCTCCATTATATTACTTTTACTACTCTCTTACCCTTAATATTCAACATTTACTTTCTGGAATAACGGCAATCGGCAACTTAACCTCTTAAATCTCAATCAATATGACCCAAATCAAACGTATACCATCTCATATCTTCCCCTCAAACAATTATCCCTACTGTTTTCAATATTCAACGTTTTATTCTCTGAAAATACAAAAAAAATTGAAATTTGGCAACCTAACCTCTCAAAACTCAATCGATATGACCCAAATCAAATTTATAGCACTTGGGCAGGAAAGTACTAGTCTTTATGAGTATTTTAGAAAAAAATGTATGTAGATCGGCTGAAATCTGGACATTTTCTGGAATTTTGAAAAAAAAATTCAAAAATCCCAGTGTGCGTCATCACCGCTTCATCCTGTTACATTTATTTATTTTAGTTTTCAGTTTATCGGTTTACCGAAAAGGAAGTTGTAAAGTGCCTGTGTAATGTATAAAGTTATTTATTTCAGTGTTTAGTGACGGTACAGTGTATTTTTGTGTTTTAATTTTCAAGTTTTTGTGTGACATTATGAATGCAGAAATCAAGAAATATTTGATACATTAGAGCACACTTTTTGTCAGGTGAAAACGATGCTGTTGCAAGAAGACGATATTAGAAAGATTATCCCGATAGATAGGTATCTAATAAGAAACTGTTTGTAAGATTGGTTCAACATTTAAGAAATTATAGGAGCTTAAGCAATACGCTAATGTTGGACAGGATCAAACTCGGAGAATCAGAAATTTTAAACGACGTTGAAGAGGATCCTCGTACCAGCATTGGAAGATTAGCCACTTCAAGTACAGATTGATACAAATATTGGTATCGGTCTGTAATTGAAGTGGCTAATCTTCTAGTACTGGTATCAGGTTATGTGACAGTACAACGAACGTTGAAGCTTCACAGATTCGCGAACTTAATCGTATTGAATTTATATGGCCCCAGATAAAATATGGAATTGCCCGAAAAATAGAACATTTACAATAAAATAAGTTGAAATTCTTTCAAATATTAATTTAAAGCATATGTCATTTGATAGCGGGTAATTGCTAGAAAGAACACAGCTATTTATACGTCTTGGTTCGTAAAAGTTTTTCATTTTTCTGGATTAGAATAATATTATATGTCGTATTACTAAGATCGCCTGTCTTCGTCACTCCTACTGTGACTCCTCTTCTTGATCTGTGCATCTCGAGAACAAAACGTATAATATTGGTAGATTGACAAAAAAGATAAACAAATACTTGTGAGGAGTACCGAAAGGAACTCCCAAATCCTTATAACAGTAAGTGGTTAAATATTTATGAGAATTGTCCTAGTGGGGATATTTTCAATAAGCTTTTACTGAACTTTTAGGTATCCCATATCACTACGTTTTTAAGAAATTTACATATATAATGGAGCTTTTATTGCGAAACAAAGTCTATTTAGACATAACTTTGCTTTAATGTAAATATGGAAATGAAAATTTAGTATACATCGAAAATTCATTCGAAGAAAATAATAGAAGGAATTCCCGTCAAGAGATAAATGATCCGGAATGCCGATTGATTCATTAAATGACACGTTGAAATATTCAGAAACGTTTTCAGAATCCATTAGTCACTTTCAAATTAAATTAAAGGGACTCCACGAGGATGGACGCTCTGACGTTCACTTCATTCCGTTATGTCTGGATTATATATTTTTTATCAAATGGCAGGTAAACGAATTATCCCGACTTTGCATTATCGGCTACAATTGACGTACAGATGTCTCTTTGCGGAATTTTGTGTGTTTAATTCTAAAGCTAAGAACTTTATGCTTTCTAAATTTATTTTATATTTTGGTTTTGTTGAATTCTCTTTACCCTTAATAAAACCTAGTACAGTCTAGTCAATTTTGTGTGTTTAATTCTAAAGCTAAGAACTTTATGCTCTCTAAATGTATTTTATATTTTGCTTTTGTTGAATTCTCTTTACCCTTAATAAAACCTAGTACAGTCTAGACTTGCACGGAACAGAACTGACTAGTTCACATCACTCTTCATTGCTTTGTAGTAATGCATTTTCTTTTTAATATTTTACTATTCGTTATAATTATTTTGTACAGAAAGTGAAATAATCTCGACTTACCATTCCTATTTTCGCTATCGGCTGGCTTCATCTGAATGGGATGGTGCATCTGAAACAGACAGGAAGTGGATTAGACTTACTGCTCGAGTAGGTGGTCGTCGGTGGCTAGCTAGTAGGGAAGCAGGCCATTTTCAGCTTATAAGGCTGTTCTCACACGCACAAATAAATCCCATGACTTGTCTCGGAACACAAATGAGAAGTGTGGAATAATGTTTAATAGGGGCTGATGTTTTGTTGAATATATTTTCTATTTTATTTATTTTTTCTATAATCGCAATACATAATATAAAACGTTATTGAATGTTTCCACATACGTTTGTCTACGGACAGATGTGAAAAAAGGGACCACTTTTATATCTCTCATTTCATAAAAATCATATTTTTAAATTATACTTGCGTTTAAATGTACAGGGTTAGTCACTACATATAATCTGACAACTTATTGTTAGTTTATTATTGAAATTACAAAAAAGTTTTTAATACAAAAGTTTTAGCTTTTTTATGAATTTTTATAATACACTATTAGAAACAACAATTGAATAATGGAAGTCACTAAATTAAAGAATTTTTTTAAATGGAACAACCTATATATTAGCGTATACTTAGCTTCGTTAAATTTTTTTCTTTTCAAAAATATAGAATATGTTACTGTTTGATTCAGGAATTTTCGACATATTTCAATTTAAAACTATTTTTGAAAAAAACAGGAGGGAAATTTATGTCTGACGGATCGCAGTGACTATGGACGAGGCACGCGGAACAAGCAAATGACTGACAGAAGTTTATTTATAATCATTAATTTGTTTCCTATAACAGACTGCTTTAATAAAGAAATAATGTTTAGTGAGAACGAAAAATTTGAAGTTATCCGTTTATTTTATGATAATAAAAAACATTCTTAACATTAACAGAATTTTAATTAATAAAAACCAACTAAAACACAAATGGTCACAGATGCTCAATGTGACTGCGATTATTATTGATGCACTTCGTATAATCCTCATTAATTTTCGGAACTGCATTTAGTATGAAATGGGAATTAAATTCACTTACATTTTGTATCGACTGTATGTATAATTGTAAGTTCATTTACGTTTACACTAGTTACCTTATAAATCCCGTTTTTTAAGTAACCCCACAGAAAACTGTCCAAGGGTGTAAGGTCTGGACTATTTGAACGCCATTAAATATTTCCTCCATTACCAACCCACAAATCAAACCTATTATTTAAATAATTTCGTACTGCTCTGGTGGTATGCGGATGCGCTTCGTCTTTGTGCCAAATTAAATTGGTATAGTCATTCAGCGGCAGGTCTTCCAATTTGTTTTTTATTTGATTTACAATAAATTGCAGGTATCTTTCCCCAAAGTGTCTACATAAAATAGTGGGCCAATGATTTTATTTCTCAATATACCGCATCAAACATTAAACGATGTGCGTCCTTGACTTTCCCTATTACAGTGAGGAGTTTCGTTTGCCCAGGTATGAGTATTTTTTCTATTATAAATGCCAGCTGTTGTTAAAGTCGCTTCATCAGTCTATAAAATCTTTTCAAAATAGTTTAAGTCACCATTCTTCAAGCGCAGCATTTCTCTGCAGTACTCTAATCGCTGAATTTTTTTATTTTGGGCGAGTTTTTGGACCGGCATAGTTTTATAGGGGCGGTATTTATATTTATGTAACGTTCTAATAATTTTACTTTGGCTTATTTCTAGCTGTTTTGAAGCATTTACTATGGACTTTTGTGGCCTTTCTAGAATAATTTAATATTTGAATTTACCATGGTAAATATTTGCTTACCTTGAAAATATAGTAATATAATTAGTTCTAATACTTCATTTGGAATAACTCTTGGTTTCTGTCTTCCAAGAGATTTTGTTTCTCTAAAGCATCGCTCAGTGTCATAAAATGCAGCTCGAGATGGAATTGGAAACCCGGGATGCAAACGGGCATACCCGGCGCGCGCTGCATTCACATTATTATTATTCTTGCAAAATAAACGGATAACTTCAAATTTTTCGTTCTCACTAAACATTATTTCTTTGTTAAAATAGTTTGTTATAGGAAATAAATTAATGATAATAAATAAACTTCCGTCAAAGTCATTTGTTTGCCGCGTCCATAGCCACTGCGATCCGTCAGATATAAATTTCCCTCCAGCTTTTTCAAAAATAGCTTTAAACTGAAATATGTCGAAAAGTCCTGAATCAAACAGTAGCATATCATATATTTTTGAAAAGAGAAAAATTTAACGAAGCTAAGTATGCACTAATATATAGGGCGTTCCATTTAAAAAAAATCTTTAATTTAGTGGTTTCCATTATTCAATTGTTTTTTTCTAATACTGTACTATAAAACTCATAAAAAATCTAAAACTTTTGTATTAAAAACTTTTTTTGTAATTTCAACAATCAACTCACAATAAGCTTTCGGTTTATAGTGACTAACCCTGTACAAAAGTTTTTTAAATGGACAAACATATTATACTCCCAAAAGAGATTATCTGAAATATAGTCGGTTTTATCCCTAACTACGTTCAGCTATCACAGGAGTACAAAGGATTAATTAAATTTAAATCCCTTTCAAGCACTTAACATAATATTCATGGGGTCTCTCTAGATCGCCAGTTGTAGGTACTTATCACAAAAAATTTTGAAGCTAAAATTTTGGGATATTGGGAAATTATCTCTTATGTTTAAAAGGTAATAATTTGTAGTACATTTTTATTTCTGTAAAGTGCCTTTTTCAGGAAGCCATGAAAAATTTTTACTGAAAAAAGTTATTCACCACAACATAAAAATGTACTGTTGTGTATTAAAATTGAGGATAATCAACCGAAGTTGATATTTCTTATTTTTATAAATCACTGATTTGCAAAATATTAAAACCGATTGCTAACAAATTTGCTTATATTTTGATTCTAATCAAGTTCTAATAAAATTTTCCCTATTTGTTACTCAAAAAGAGTACTTTACATAAGATGGAGAAATTGCAAAAGTCAAAATTACTTTGAAATTTGGTACATGGGAATAAATTCCAATTTTAACCATTTTTTTTGGCAAAATGCATACAGAATTTAAGCAAAACTGTCAATAATTCGATAGTTTTACATACACACGGACTTTTAGATATATTGCGGGATTTAAAAGGGATAAACAATGTTCCGACGTTAAACATCCGGGTGTGCTCGTGTGTGTGTGCGCCGCTTTATGGCGCCTACACCCACAAGTAATGTCTTAGAGGGATTCGGAAAGCGAATTAAAGAATTAAAAGTTGTAGGGATTAGACGGCTCTGCGGCTGGCCGGATTAGTTTTTTCCCATTTCCAATCCTGAGTAGGTAGTTTCGGGGCGGCCACCGAGCAAGATGAATTGGCTTTTTGTTTCGGTGGCGGGTCAATCAGCGAGGAATGCGGAGATGTTGATTTATCGACGGTTCACTGCTTTCCCCCATTATTCTAGTAATGCGCGCGACAATAGACAGATACAGGGTGATCAGTTACTGACACTACCTTTTTTATATAAGTACTTCCAACAGCAAATATATAGCAAATGGATCCCCACAAATGTTCGTAAGCGCAAAAAAAAACAAAAAATTATACGTGAGAAACCCCTATTAATGCGCCGCCCATGCATATCATTTGCTTAGGATCGTATGGCATTATACTAAAATTTGAACTAACTTCAGAAATTAACTAAGAACATTTTAATCTTGCATAGTGTCATACAGAAAATGCAACAAAAATTGTTTTTGTCTATACGGCCGCTTGAAAAATTATTCTAATGTACAAACTCTCAATAATTACGTCAAATCATGCGATGATTCGAAACGAAAGGCAAGCGCTTTAAAAGATTTATCACAAAAAATAGGAATTAAGCTATTTGAATGAAAGTTGAATGAAAGCTATTTGAAGTTGTTTTATCGTGAAGTTATGTAATATTTGATTATCAAGCCAAGAAGACGGTTTCTCTTTTATTGAAATATTTTACAATGTAAACTAAAGCAATAGTGTTCGAGTACACTATTGTCCAAACCCAAAAGATCCACATATAATTTCCGAAGGTATTCGAAGCGGAAAACATGATCCTGTAGAAGAAAAGTGAAATTTTTGGGTGAAAACGCCCAAATATGGGTTAAAACTGTTTTGTTCCTAAATTTTGTCCAAACATATCATTTTCGTAGTATTTTAAGGCGCCATTAGTAACATTTATCCATGAACTCAATATTTCTCAGAAAATTCATTATATGGGCGAAAACTGGCCTAATATGGGTCAAAACAACTATTTTTTTTCCAAATTTTGTCCAAATATATCATTTTCGTAGTATTTTGAGGCGTTGAACACGATGCCATCAGTAAAGTTTTCTTCTGACCTCGATATTTCGCAGAAAATTCAAAATTAGTTAATTTTTACATACTTGAAAATTTAAAAAGTAATTACTAGTAATTTATTAATATCATCTTTAACATGTTCATATATGTCGTCAATAAAGAAATGATATACTAAAGAATAAGTGTCTGTGTACAATAATTTTGCTTTATCAGTTTTGTTTTTAGTGTAGTTAATAAAAATCATACAATTGTTTTCGAAATGTATAATATACTAAATCCTACATATAAAGGTTTATTAAATGTAATGGTTAATCGTTTCATTTCAATTATAACCAAAAATTGTACAACTGTAAAAATTTGGCTTTAAAATATAATAGTTTGCGTCATATCTACTTGACCATCTAGAGAATAACTACTTCACGTCTTTATATTTTTCTAATATTTTCCATAGTTTCTCCAAAAGCAGTATTGTTCATCAATTTATAAAAAATTTTACTTAGTTTTTTTCATTCTGTATATAAGTTAATTTTCATCTAATAACTTAAAATTTTAAATTCTATGAATTTTTCCAATCCTAAAACTGTAGCTTGTTTTAAATTGTCATAATGAATAATATATCTTTCTTTATCAAACAGAGTGGTCAATAATTTTGGAATTTCTGATTTTGACGTAGGAGGTAAAAGTCATAAGTGCTTATGTTTCTTATGAAGTGCTTAGTA